ATAGATAGATAGATAGATAGATAGATAGATAGATAGATAGATAGATATAGAGTTCAATAGATAGATATAAATAGAGATAGAGATAGATGGATGTATGGAGGGAGGGAGAGAGAGAGAGATGGTAGATACACACACACACACACACACACACACACCAATTCAAATCCCCCTCTACTCATTCATTGGAGAGGGCAACGTTTTTCCCCACTCTGGTGGGAGGTCCTTGCAGTCTCAAAACTGCCGTGAAGTTTTGATGGGTGTTATTGTGAGGAAAGAGTATCTTTACTTGAAGGAGACCTGATGAGCTCCACCATGGAGAGAAGCAGCATCAACAGAAGATGAATTATGAAAAAGCCGGAGTTAAATTACAGCAATTGCCATCCAAGTATCTTTGATCCACTCCCTGTTTTTCTGCCCTTCACTTACCGCTGAACGTTGTGTAGTGCAGAATAACAATAATAATAAAAAAACACTCAATAAAAGCATAAATAATAGAAGAGAACAGAGAGCACATTACTGGTAGCATCACACCCTGCTTCTAGGCTTATAGATTTTGAAAGCAGTCCATTAAAAAAAAAAAACTGCCACCCCCTAAACCTCAGTATAAAATGAGAAAGCTTTATTATGGTTTAATACTTCTCGGTAAAACATGATCCACTCGGGCAATTCTGCCAGGAACTTTAAGTCATTCGGCCTAACTAATCCAGGCTTTATTATCTCAGGAGGGGACAGTTGCAGAGGTGGGTATTCAGCGGGTTCTGACCAGTTCTGGAGAACCGGTAGTGGAAGTTTTGAGTAGTTCGGAGAACTGGCAAATGCCACCTCTGACTGGCCCCGCCCCCATCTCTTCTCTGCCTCCCATTGAGTCCCAGCTGATCGGCTGGCTCTTCTTTGGTTGCCCTGCCAGGAGAACGGGGCTGGAAAGCAGGTTAGTGGGGTGGGGAGGGAATGAGATTTTGCAATAACCTTCCCCCAGGAGTGGGGAGGGAATGGAGATTTTACAGCATCCTTCCCCTGCCACTCCCACCAAGCCACGCACACCAAGCCACATCACGCCCACCAAGCCACGCCCTCAGAACCGGTAGTAAAAAAAAAAATGAATCCCACCACCAACTGTCAATCTCAGAGGCTCCCCAGACCCCCTTCCTTACAGTTGGGCTCAGGGGCAGTGATGTTCAACTAGTCATGCTTTGCAGCAAGTAAATAGCAATAAAATGTGTTTTTAATGTTGCGCGACCCAATGGTTCCAGCAACTTTTAAGACTGAAAACAGTTGGTGAGGGCTTCATTGGTGGAGGTTTTCAGAAAAAAGATTGGGCAACCATTTGTCTGAGATGATACGATGATTCCTGCTTTGGGCTGGGAGTGAGACTAGGTCCCTTTACAACTCTATGAACCTGGGTGGATGGATGGATGGATGGGAGGGAAGGATAGATGGATAGATAGGATGGAGGGGTAGATGGACAGGTAGGCAGACAAACATGCAGATAGATATCTCTCTGAGATGGATGGATGGATGGATGGATGGATGGGAAAGGAGTGGTAAATAGGATGGAGGATAAAGGGATAAATGGACAAGTAGACAGACAGATGTCTATCTGAGATGAATGGATGGATGGATGGATGGATGGATTAGAGGGAAGAGGGAGGGAGGGATGTGGAGATAGATGGGTGGAAGGATAAGAGGGAGAGACGGAGAGAGGTGATAGAATGGAAAATGGAAAGATAGATAGACAGATAGATAAACAGTAGACAGACGCCTATCTGGGATGGATGAATGGATGGGTGTGTGGATAAAAAGATAGATGGATGGATAGATAGATAGATAGATAGATAGATAGATAGATAGATAGATAGATAGATAGATAGATAGATAGATCGACAGAGCAATGATAGCAATGATACATAGAGAGAAAGAGAAAGAGAAAGACAGATAGATAGATGGATAGATAGGTGGATAGATAGATAGATAGCCTCCTTGATCCAAATCTTGTCTTCCACCTGAAGTGAATGAGAAACATTCCAGTGCTACGCATTCACACAACTTCACCATACATTAGTATAGAATAGAGTAGAGTAGAGTAGAGTAGAGTAGAGTAGAGTAGAGTAGAGTAGAGTAGAGTAGAATTAGAATAGAACAGAACAGAACAGAACAGAATAGAATAGAATATATGGAATGGAATAGAATAGAATAGAATAGAAAATATGGAATGGAATGGAATGGAATAGAATAGAATATATGGAATGGAATGGATTGGAATGGATTGGAATGGAATGGAATAGAATAGAATAGAATAGAATAGAATAGAATAGAATAGAATATATGGAATGGAATGGAATGGAATGGCATGGCATGGCATGGCATGGCATGGCATAGAATAGAATAGAATAGAATAGAATAGAATAGAATAGAATAGAAT